AGTTTAGCAGAAGATATTCTCGATTCCATCCGGACGGTGGTTGCATTCGACGCACAGGAGACGCTAGCAACTAAATACGAGAAACACCTCAAGGATGCAGAGAGACCTGGGATGAGGGCGCAGATGATCTTCGCGCTGATGGTTGGAGCCTTGCTGTGTGTAATGTACCTCAACTATGGACTGGGGTTCTGGATGGGATCGCGCTTCTTGGTCGACGACGGGAGCCATGTCAAGGCCGGTGATGTGCTGACTATTCTTATGGCTATCATTCTCGGATCGTACAATTTGGGCAATATTGCGCCTAACACGCAGGCGCTCTCCACTGCCGTCGCGGCCGCAACCAAGCTGTATAGCACGATCGATCGGCAATCTCCTCTGGACGCGTCACTGGACAAAGGATTCACTCTGGGCCATGTGCGGGGAAACATCGTTTTGCAAAACATCCGCCACGTGTACCCGTCTCGGCCGGAGGTAATCGTCGCGCACGACCTGAGCGTCTATATCCCGGCCGGCAAAACCACAGCCTTCGTCGGGCCCTCCGGATCCGGCAAAAGCACCGTCATAGGGCTTATCGAACGCTTCTACAGCCCTGTAGCGGGGAATATCCTGCTCGACGGACATGATATCCAGCATTTGAATCTGCGCTGGCTCCGGCAGCAAATGTCGCTCGTCTCGCAGGAACCACGGCTCTTCGCCGCCAGCATCGCAGAGAATATCCGGGTCGGGCTCATCGGCTCAAAACATGAGCACGAACCGCCCCAGCAGATACAGAAACGAATCGAAGATGCAGCCCGAATGGCGAACGCGCACGACTTCATCATGGCCTTGCCGGACGGGTACGAAACTAACATCGCTGGGTTTTCCCTATCCGGGGGCCAGAAGCAGCGCATCGCCATTGCGAGGGCCATCGTCAAAGACCCCAAGATCCTACTGCTGGATGAGGCGACCTCCGCTCTAGATACAAAATCCGAGGGGCTGGTGCAGGCTGCTCTGGATAAGGCGTCGCAGGGCCGGACGACGGTCGTGATCGCGCACCGGCTGTCGACTATTAAAGAAGCGCATAATATTGTCGTCTTGAACAATGGATGCATTGTCGAGCAGGGCTCGCATGATCGTCTCATGGACAGAAAGGGCGTCTACTACGGCATGGTCAAGGCACAGCAGATCAAGAAGCGGCTCACGCGGATGAGCCAAATGCCTCGAAGTCCGATGGAGACTTTTTTCCTAGATCTGGATTATCCAACCGATGACGATGTCTCGGAATATGAGCATCAGGATGACGCGTCTGATGTCGGGCTGAAAACAGGCGAGAGACTGAAACAGCGGATGTCGAGGATGTCAATATCAGCGCTGCCGGTGCACTTGCAGAAAGCCAAAGAGGTATCCTACTCACTTTGGACGCTGTTTAAATTCCTCGCCTCGTTCAACCGCCCCGAATGGCCGCTCCTCGGGTTGGGATTAGCTGCATCCGTCCTAGCCGGAGGCATCCAGCCCTCGCAGGCCGTCCTCTTCGCCAAAGCCGTGAGCACGCTGAGCCTGCCACCCTGGGAATATCCCAAGCTACGCCACGACGCGAGCTTCTGGTCGCTCATGTTCCTCATGCTTGGCCTGGTCACATTTATTCTGTATGCCTTCCAAGGAAGCCTTTTCGCCTACTGCTCCGAGAAAATGGTCTACCGGGCCCGCAGCCAGGCGTTCCGGGTCATGCTCCACCAGGACATTTCCTTCTTCGACGAGCCGGAGAACACCACGGGCGCGTTGACAGCTACCCTAAGCGCAGAAACAAAGCAACTGGCCGGCATCAGCGGCGTCACGCTCGGCACCCTGCTCATCGTCTCGGTGAATTTGGTCGCCTCGCTGGGCATCGCACTAATCATGGGCTGGAAGCTCGCGCTGGTCTGTATCTCCGCTGTGCCTGTGCTCCTTCTCTGCGGCTTCATCCGCGTCTGGATGCTGGATAAGTTCCAGCGGCGCGCAAAAGCCGCGTACCAGCAGTCTGCCAGCTCAGCCTGCGAGGCTGCCTCGGCGATTCGCACCGTCGCCTCGTTGACGATGGAGGGTGAGGTTCTGGACTCGTATCAAACCCAGCTGCAGCACCAGCTAAGACGGGATATCCTCCCCATCATCAAATCGTCGCTGCTGTATGCCAGCTCCCAGGCCCTGCCGTTCTTGTGCATGGCGCTGGGCTTCTGGTACGGCGGGTCGCTTCTGGGGCATGGAGAGTACTCTGTTTTCCAGTTCTACGTCTGCTTCAGCGAAGTGATCTTTGGCGCACAGGCAGCCGGGACGGTTTTCTCGCACGCACCGGATATGGGCAAGGCGAAGCACGCCGCAAGGGAATTCAAGCGGCTCTTCAGCGGCGAGACCATGCAGTCGCAGTCTGCGACTCAACGCCAAAGACCACAGCCGGATATGCGCGGGCTGATTGAATTCCGCGATGTCTCCTTCCGGTATCCGAGCCGGCTGGATCAACCGGTTCTACGCAGACTGAATCTAACTGTCAAACCCGGCCAGTTCGTCGCCCTGGTCGGCGCCAGCGGCAGCGGGAAGAGCACGATCATCTCGCTACTGGAACGATTCTACAACCCTATGACAGGGGCAATCTACATCGACGGTAGAAATATCGCTACCTGGGATCTAACCTCGTATCGAAGCCACCTGGCGCTGGTCAGCCAGGAACCGGCTTTATTCCAGGGGACGATCCGCGAGAATATCCTCCTGGGGAGTACCAGGCCGTACACCAGTGAGAGCGAGCTGATCAACGCGTGCAAAGACGCAAATATTTACGATTTTATCATTTCTCTTCCGTACGTCCCCGCCTACACTAACCTTGAACTACTCTAATGTACAACAGACAAGGCTTCGAAACGATTGTCGGCACAAAAGGGGGCATGCTCTCCGGCGGCCAGAAGCAGCGCATCGCCATTGCGCGCGCCCTCATCCGCGATCCGCGGATCTTGCTTCTGGATGAGGCAACCTCTGCGCTAGACTCGGAGTCGGAGAAGGTGGTGCAGGCTGCGCTGGACGCGGCGGCGCAGGGCCGGACGACTATTGCCGTGGCGCATCGGTTGAGTACCATCCAGCGGGCGGATGTGATCTACGTGCTGGATCAGGGGGAGGTGGTGGAGTCAGGAACGCATGATGACCTGCTTCGGAAGAGAGGGCGGTATTTCGAGTTGGTCAACCTGCAGAATCTGGCTTGAATGAGTTGTTGGTGGGCAGGCGTTCGGCGATTAGCGTGTGTTTTTTCGATTGTTGTCTCATGAGTCATGTGGTTAGGGCTGAAGCGACTGGAGTAAGAGATTATTGTTTCAGATCGGTCAATATCAAGTAATCTCTCCAATCATCGGTCCAAATTGTTGGGATATTCGGACGAGTTCAAACCGGATTGGGAAGTTCGTCCGATGTTCCCCAAATTTGGGGCAAACCACGAACTATCAACAACACTATTATGAGACATGGCCCACATCACAAACAGGTTATCGGCATGTTCAGGGACTGCATTCAGGCTTGGCAGGAGACTCAGACTCTCGATCTTTATCGGATCAAGAACTAACAATTTGAGACGTTCTGAAACTGTGAGGGAATAGACTCCAATGGGACTTCCTGAATGTTCTCGCTGGACCTCGCATCGGATTCTTATTCTGGAGCAACTGCCGACGATGGCTCTCTATGGCCAAGAACAGTAGATATAAAGACCCCTGTTCAGGGCAAGGATTGCATTTAGCAACTCTCCCAAGACAAGGGCCCAAGACAAGATGAACCTGCGCCTATTGACTCTGGCCCTCGCCGGCCTCGCCGCCGCAAGTCCAGTTGCCATCCAGGAGAGACAATGTACGTATACCCTGCCATCTCTGCATCGAGGTCGTGTCTAACATGAGCCCAGTATCCTCCGGGAATGAACTCCGCGACGGAGCCTGCAAACCCATCACCTTCATCTTCGCCCGCGCGTCAACCGAACCCGGCCTCCTGGTAAGAACTCCCCGCGTGCCCCCCAATAGCACCAGTAACTAACGTAAGCAGGGGATTTCTACCGGCCCAGCAGTCTGCAACAACCTCAAAGCCGCCAAACCAGGCCAGGTAGCCTGCCAAGGCGTCGGACCAGCCTACACAGCTGACCTGGCGTCCAACGCACTCCCCGAGAACACCTCCCCTGCCGCCATCAACGAAGCCGTGGACCTGTTCAAGCAAGCTGCGTCGAAATGCCCCGACACGCAGATTGTCGCGGGGGGGTACAGCCAAGGCACGGCGGTGATGGACGGGTCCATCAAGCGGCTTCCTGAGGAGGTCAAGGAGAAGATCAAGGGTGTTGTGCTGTTTGGGTATACGCGCAATGCGCAGGAGAGAGGGCAGATTGCGGATTTCCCAAAGGACAAGGTCAAGGTTTATTGTGCTCTGGGGGATATGGTGTGTGATGGGACATTGATTGTGACGGCGGCGCATTTCACGTACGGGGCGAATACGGGCGATGCGGCGCGGTTCTTGCTGGGGAAGTTGTCGACTGCTTGAGTCTGATCCATATCTCTTATTCTCTTTAAGTATTGATGTGGTGTTGTCGGAGTCGGGAACCAATAATTGAGTAATGAATCTGTGTCCTGTTTAACATTAACAGTCTGAAGTACGGCTAATGTTAATGAGAGTCAGTCAGCATGCTAAATATATATTTGAATCCTACACCGTCTCTACTCCCTTAACTTAGATTCCCAATGGAGGCTTTGTAGATTCATTGTCCTAAAGTACGTTGGACATACTGCCTCTTTATTGTTAAATAGAAGCTTCTTTGCTGTGCCTTACCTATCTCCTCTACGCCACTTTAAGTGTTCTGTGTTGATGAGACTGGGATGACCAGCCCCGCCCTCCCAGCGCTAAGGAGTTGACATCCGATATCGCTAGTTTAATGAATGACCAACCCGTATATTCCCCTCTCTTCAAGTCAAGCTTCTTTCTTCATTCACTTTTCATATCGGATAAAGGATAATCCAAAAGAAAAAAAAGGAAACATGTCTTTCTACCCTCCCGGCTGGGACTACGAGCGCGTAATGAACTGCGCCTATGAGGACTTCGGCACCCTCACCGAGGAACAACACACAACCATGCTAAATGGCCTCAAGGAAGCAGGCTTGTACCAAGCTTTCGAAGACAAAATACAGGCAAAGGTCATGGAATCCCAGGCAGCAGCTCGACTCGCCGAAGAAGCCACCAAAACAGAAGAACAAAAACTTGCAGACCGCGAAAGCTGGGCTCCTTACATCGACACCTTGAAGAATGTCTTTAAATTCGAGCCGGAATGGTCGGAGTGGGGATTTGTGGTCTTTCGCGCTACGGCCTATAGAACTGAGGATGACGCGAAGTGGTCAGAGTTTCGCCGACGCTGGGACCAGATCATTGAAGAGGAGCATGCGGATCAGCGCGGGTTTCATCCCAAGTCAGATCGGGCGATTGAACTGCTGCGGTTCCGGTGGGTGGAGGATCCGTCGTTGGAGGGGGCGTCGGCTGTTGAGGTTTCTCGGTACGTCTTTCATTCTATACATTCTATTCTCTGTTCTAACGGAACAGGCGCTTTGACAAGATGTTGCGGGACCTTCCCACTGGACTCACCACGACGGCCTGCCTCATGGTAAACACCGAGGCTCTGGAGTCGGTCCTCAACTCACTACTTCCTTCTTCAGCTCCCTTGAAGGGTCGGAAGGAGATTCCATATGTGGTTGCGGTCTCCAGGGCCGCGCACTATCCACGCCCTGAGCCCACCCCTGGAGAAGATGAAGATGTCTTTGGTCAAGATTTCAAAGGATACTTTAATGTTGCGGTTGAGACCCTTTTGACAAATTTCTACCCCATGGTCGCACTGGATATCATGGACTTACCGAGACTGACGAGTCGCATGCGACACGACAAGGATATTTGGTGCGATACCTATCGGGGAGGGATACGCCATTATCTGGAAGAGTCCAGTTGATCAAGCTCTTCCGTCCGTCTATTCAGGTCACCTTCTCGGTAACCATGGCATTACTGGCGAGACTGCCATGCGTATCCAACAGCTTTAACAGCCTAACCGCACGGCTGCTGAGATATATGTTCTACTTTGTCCAACTGATTCGAGCAGAATCCAGATTCGGAGGACTACTGAACCGGTGAAGGCACGCACCCAGTGAGAGTGGCCATGGCGACGGAACAGCATTTCCAACAAAATCAGCCTCAGTGCCGTGGCGAGTGACTCGCCCGATTCAGATTGGCCCCAGCGGAAGATATGATTGAAAGGCATCATGGACTATCCCAAAACAGTAATTTATGTGCAATTATCCATGGGCCAAGGCGTTGTCAGGCAGTGCAGAAATACGGATGATCAGCTCTTGGCACCGCAGCAGGATGCGCATTAATTACTACTTTGGGACTAGCCTCGAATTGACCATTGCCAAAAAGGGCATCACCACCAGGTCATAGCCAAGGGCAGGGTCAAACACATTACGATTGAAAGCACCATGATAATGTATATATACCAGTTCCAGCGCTTCCCAAGTTACTCTGCCGAAGCTCAGTTCAGCGGACAGCTCCAACCACAACAAAACCAATCATGGACAAACTATTCTCCAAAAGCAAATCACCCCAGCCCGTCTACACCTTCACCATCGACAGCTCCGGCGAGACAATCACCTGCGCAGACAGACCAGCCTTCCACCTCACCACCCAGAAATCCAAACCACACCTCACCATCTCGCGTCTCCCACCGCCAGGACCATGGTCTCCAGCGCCTGTTCCCATCGGAACCTGCACCGTCCACAAGTTCCCCTCTAGCAAGGTGGACATCACACTTCACGGCCACGAATTCCTGCTCAAGCGCGACCTCCTCAAAAGCGATAACCACCACTTCGATTACCCGCCTCTAGGGCACTTCAAATGGAAGCCTGATGCATGGGGAGGGAGTAAACTCGAGTTGTTCGACAACGACCGGCGGTTGTTGGCAAGATACCACAAGAAGCTGTCATTGAAAGGACAGGGTCAGCAAATCGAGGTGTTTGTGCAAGGCGATGAGCGGTTCGTGGAGATGGTGGTTGTGACGGCGTTGGCGATGAGGCATTATATCGAGGTGGAGAATAAGGATATTAAGAAGGTGACTGACATTCTTGATGCTGTGGGCGGGGGTTAGTCGACCAATCATTATATACAATTAATACATGTTAGACAGTGCAATGAAACATCAGCTACGCCTCCAAATATACATCCTTCATCCCCTTGGCCACATGGGGATTCCGGACCAGTCGCTCATGCCAAGTCGTCAACTCGGGGAATCGCTCAAGGTCCAGATTCGCCTGACTCGCACCAGCTACATACGGGAAAATGACCAGATCCGCTAGTGTACTAAATGAACCGTCAGCACGCTGCATACAGTTGACGGTAGACAACACATACCACTTCTTGCCCACAAGGTACGGAGTCCGCGCCTTCTGCAAATGCTCCTCAAGATGCAGATACAACCGCAGCGCCTTCCGCGCAAAGCTTTCCTCAGGGTTATTGCCTTGAATGATCTTGCTCAGGAACGCAATCCAGTTATTGACCTCGTCTACTTCCTTGGACCCCTCTTTGTACGAAAAGTGGTGCTCGGCGTCGTATTTGGTCAGAAGGTAGCGGGCGATGTCGGCCACGCCAGATGCACTAGCCTTTTTGCCTTCGCTGGTTACATCGTAGAGGACAGGGAGACTGGTGTATGCGCTTGCATCGTCGTGTTTGATTTCTTTGATGCTGTGGACAAGGTGGATGCAATGCGGTTGTCTGTGTTGTTAGCACTAGCAACGGTGCAGAGAATTCGTGAATAGCATACCCGATGAGCTCGATCAGCATGGCGATAGTGGCACCCTCTTTAGTCCGGGGTGAGGTGTAGAGGGCGATACGCCCTCTCTGCTCGTGGAAGACGTTCATTGCGAGAGCTTGGAGGGATAGACGACTGAAAGGAAGATGATTACAGGACAAGAAAGAGACAGACAGCAAAGGATAGATAAGCTTCAGGAGAAACACGTGCGGATGCAGCGAACCTTCTTCAGTTGTCCAATCTCGACCGAATCAGGCAACCCATCAGGCCATCTGCGGAGTCAGCCAATCAGAGTGGACGCAAGGGAACGTGCTCAGGACGATCCCCGGATTTCTTGGTACGCTATTCCAGCGTGGCAATTAATTGGCAATGAATTGGCCAATCAACTGCTCCTCTTAGGCGGAAATATCTCAATATTAAGCCCATCTCCATGGGCCAATGCGAGGGGAATTACCTTTGGAGAAAGAAATGACGATATAAGGCTTTGGCAGTCCTGATATCAATGACGTCATATATCATGAAGCTATTGTCCACCAGACAATAGTCATTCACTCTGATAGATATATTATATATAGCACTTTAGACAGTCACATATTGGTACTATATATTGTTAGGAGTAATATAAATCACATAGCATTAGTCCCGGTGGGTGGAATCCATAAATCCATGGTCATAAGCTTGCTATATATCTTGCTACACCTACTATTTGGAAAAGCAGAATCCACATTAGCATATGATATTAGTGATCTATAGAATATACCTCCTATTACTGCTGTAGATAACTCCACAAATCCTCACAAGCATCCCTCAATGATTTCTGCGTCGTCCATCCCAACTCCACCGCCGCCCGCTCCGCACTGGCAACACACGACCCAACATCCCCCGCTCTCCTCCCCACCACCCGTCTCGGAATCATCCGCCCGGACACTTTTTCCAGCGTCTGCACCAGCTCCAACACCGAATGCCCACGCCCTGTCCCGAGATTAAACGTGCGAAATCCGTCCCGAACACGACCCTCCCGCGCCGCAGCCAACGCAGCCGTATGGCCCCTCGCCACGTCTGTGACGTGGATGAAATCCCGGATCGGGGTGCCGTCAGGCGTATCCCAGTCATTTCCGTAGATGTGGAGCTCGTCCCGCTTGCCGGTCAGGATGTCCACGACGGCCGGGACGAGGTTCGAAGGATTGATCTTTGGGTCTTCGCCTAGTAGGCCGGAGGCATCGCAGCCGATTGGGTTGAAGTATCGCAGGGCGACGATGGTCCATGCGGGATTTGCACGGGCCACGTCGGCGAGGACGGCTTCACCGAAGAGTTTGGTGCGGCCGTAGGGGTTTGTAATTTGGGAGATGTTCGTTTCGCAGGAGTGAGACGCACCTAACTGGTTGGGCTCAGCTTGATGGATGCACTCCTCTTCGTGGAGGATTGGACGGTTCTCGGCTAGTTTGCCGTAGACGTTTGCAGACGAGGAAAAGATGAAGGTGGTGATGCGGTACTGGTCTAGCAGGACGAGGAGGTCGACGAGCCCGTTGATGTTGTTGCGGTAGTACTTGAGCGGGATGTGGATGCTTTCTTCGACCTGCTTGAAGGCTGCGAAGTGGATGACTCCGATGATGCTCGATTGTCTTGTGGATAGGTCGAGCTGATACGCGTCGAGGAGGTTCCTCATGGCCGACTTGTCGCGGTAGTCGACATCGTACAGCGTCGCCTTGGGACAATGGCCGTCCGTACTGTCAAAGTGCAGTTTCGCGGCCAGGAGGATCCGGGAGAAGACATGACGGTAGCTGTTACTCAGATCGTCGACAATGAGGACATTGTATCCGGCTTTCATCAATTCCAGACAGGTATGGCTGCCGATGAATCCTAGGCCGCCAGTGACAAGGACATAATCCTCGCCATCACTGACAGGTGTCAATGTATCAAAGCCGTCCGTCTCGCTGTCTGGAGTCGGAACTTCAGAAAAGATCCGAGGAGAAGCAGATGGGCTTCTTTCAGAATGTGAACTTGAAGTCATACTGGGACAGGTATACCATATCACAGCAAGCAAACGAGCGACTTACTACAGTCTACAGCCCGAGGCTCATCGCAGACAATAAGTCCAATGGATCGCAGTCATCCTCGTCATGATCATGGCATCCACGTTTCCATGACTTCATGTCAATGATACTATTTTCATCGCAGTCAATCCAGCTGGTTATGATAGCCGAGACATGGCTGGTATCTGGATTCTGATATGTCAGGCCATGACTCGTAAAGCCCATACCATACATACCGTAAGTACCTTACTCCGTACCTTACATCCTGAAGGATTCGATTCATACGAGGAATATACTTTCCTTATCTTGCCGCCATTATTTGCCTATTTGCCTATTGCCAGAGTCTCACCGTCATGGACGTGCACGGTGCAGCCGCAGTCAGCTTATGCCGGTGCGCTGGCGATGCCAAGTAGGCAACTACGGATATCCAACGCCATATCAATGAGGCGTCTGTGGATGTCTCACCGTTATCGACCAATTATCGCCTCTTATACAAGTGACAGAGCCAAAAGTGAGGCCCAGCGATTTACTGTGGCGCCCAGCGCATTGTATTTGTGGCTTCCACTAGTGCGTGCTAACTTTGGCACCGTTGACAGCTAAATCACGCAAGAATGACAGATCTATTCGATCCTGCCTAGCCCTGACCTCTAGACCAGGATCTAGATTCTAGACCCTAGTCTACACTATCTCCCACTCTGAATCGTGTTTCAGCGCGTGCATCAATTGCATCCAACTGGTTGGTCCAAATCGCTCGTAGAAATCCCCCTCCACCTCCGTGACAAACAGATACGCCGCGCGATCGCGCAATTCGCGCACCACGCCCGCCAGCTCGCCTACGGGCACCGCATTGATCATGTACCCGCATCGGACCCGATCATAGGGCAGTTCGGCGAGTCGACGCTGCACCTCGTCGGAGCGGTACCTCTCGTACGGCTCTTCGCAGGTCAGAATCAGGTCCGGACAGGTGTCGGCCAACCCGGCATCGGGGGGTGTGCCTGGGTTATGAATGACCTACCAGCATCACCCCTGTCAGCAGGCGTCTCAACTCAACTCAATTCAACTCATTCAATCCCATGGAAAAGAAAACCCAAAAACTAAAAAAAGAAAAGGGAGAAAACAAAACTTACCATCCGATCGCGCAGAATCCCACCATTCCCCTTGATAAACTCGGTACAAGCACGCAGGTACTCCTCCCTCTCCTCCGAATAATGATTCGGCGTTTCGTCGAGTAGAATCCCACCTAATCCTAAACCCTCGCAGGCCGACCAGCTAGCATACCGATCGATCTCCGCGTAGACATCCTCCAGAGGCTTATCGCAGTAGTGGATACGAATGTAGCCGACGGTGTAGACGTTCGGGCAAGCGTTGAGCTTGGGGACCTCGCGGGCGTAATCCTTGTTCGGGGAGGGGAGGTCGCCCGGTCCGCTGTTGGGGTTGACGACCACCAGGAAGTCTAGATCGGGGTGGGCAGTTATACTGACCAGGCGAATACCAGTTCAGTATTGTAATTTGTAAGATAGATTAGGAATTAAGATTGGTGGACTCACGCGTCGTACAGTGGAGCCCATGTCGTCGTTGATAGAGGGTAAATGTACAAGGGGACGAGAACTCCTGATTTTGGGGGCATTGTGCGGATGGTAAGATTCAGTAAGATGGCGAAATGATGGCGATTATTCGATCAGATCGGGTGATTGTTTAGTGTGAAGCGATAGAAATGAACGCTAAATAGATGCCCTGATTGACAGGGGCGAGGAACAGGAACACACTGCGACCGCACATGTCTATCTATCTATCTATCTATCTACTAGTCTACGGAGTACTTGCTACCACTAGGAGATAGCCTAGTGCTGACGAGATGCAGAGATCGAGCCATGTGGTGCCGTTGATAGCCAGTCGTGGTATCACATTTTCCTTCTATCTCGCCCGACACTGCCTATCAAAGCTTGGTCAATACGATGTCTCAGCCTCCAGTCACTTATCAAGTATTTCCGGAATCCTGACAAAGCTAATTGATTATCTGCGATTATGCGATTACTGTGATGTGATATCAAAAGTCCAAAGTCAAAACATGTCTCCCCGCATCCAATAACCATGGTTTCATCCACGTCAACTGGGCATGACAGCACACAAAGTGGGTAACTGTGGGTCAAAACTCTCGTAGAAATTCTGGCTCAGTGTCGTGAGAAACAGATATTCCGCGCGCTCGCTTAGATCCTGGACCAAGTTGCGGAGCGTGCCATTATTCATGGAAGGCACCGAGTGGACCATGTAGCTGTAAGCCGTCCGGTTCGCAGGAAGCGCCATCAGACTCGCATGCTTGGTCTGATACTCCTGATAGGACTGTTCAAAGACAACTGTCACATCGGTCCCGTCAATGTTACTATATCGGGAGTCCGGGATCGCGCCCGGGTTATGGATCACCTAATGATGAATCATTAGTTGAGCCTCAAAGCATGTCTCGTACACCAGGAAACTTTTGAGGTCTGGACAGCGTACTGAAACACAAATACGAAAACAGAGACATGCTCACCGTTCGGTCTGGCCTCAGCCCAGAGGCGTTCTTAGCCGCTTCATTGATCGTAGCCAGGTATTCGGCCGAGGATGTGGTATACTCGCTGGGCACCTCGTCGAAAAAGATTCCATGCATGGCAAGACTTGGCGATACGGCTGCCCAGCCGGAGTAGATGCCCACCTCTTGCAGCACGGTGGTCAGATTCCGGCTGGCATACCCTGTGCGCACGTATCCCACGGTCCGCACATTTGGGTACGCATTCAGCCGCTGGATCTGGTGTGCGTACTGCGCACTAGGCTGCGAGTCGTTTCCCGGGCCACTGCTTGGATTGATGATGATGGTAAAGTTGAGATTGGGGTAGTTGGTCACTCTGACGACATCAACCTACCAACTCTTCTGCATTTGACAATGGCAAACTTACTCTTCGTACAGCGGGTCCCACGTACTGTCGGTTTCTGGCCAGATATAGAGGGGGAACAGAATCGTAGCCTTCTTGCCATGGTGCTTTTTGGGCAGGATAACTGCCAATGGCACCACAATGACAATAATAACCACAATGGCAATGACGACGCCGATGCCAATCCACAAATTGCGTCGTCCTTTAATTTTGGAAGAAGCCATTGTAGGTGAGCGTGGTGGAACGATTGGAGCGAAGAGCACGTAAGCCTCTCGACAGTGATGGAGATTACACGCAAAGGCGGATCTCCAGCAACAATTCCAGCGATATCAATTCTCTACAAATACTTGAGGACAAACCTTCCCCGTCTCTCCAGCCCGGTCTCACCGGACGGCCAAGAGTAATGGCTACATTTGACGAGAATTAGCGGCTGACGACCAAGACACATCCAGACCCTTGACTCGCTAGACGTATCCCACGTCCAAACTCAGACACTGGTCGCAGAGTCATAGACTCGTTCCTGATAAAGAATTATTTTTGGATCCAACCACTGCAGCACTAGCGCCGGTGTGACTTGGTCTGTTTCCTATCGTAAATTTGGGCGTCAGAACCCGAGCTGAAATTCAGAACTGAATTCTCTTGTTTCTTAAGCTCAGGCAGGCACTCTGTAGCTCAGCCACCATTGGGTCGGCGTCGTATCTGTCATAGAGATGTATCACTGAGTCCGTCTGGCTCTACTTAGCATAGACAGCAAGCAGGGTGGTGGCTTCGGCCATATATCATCGTCATATAGATCCGCACGCCCATGCACCTGTAGTCTTGTGCATATCGCTCGTTATCGTGTCCCTGATCCCCCAGTTCATTTGCCATGGGGACAGAATATCTGGGGCTCCATGCTATTGGATGGCATGGAATGCTCAAGACCTGGTGGGACAAACTACTCGCTGTACTGCTATTGACCACCATCGTCTTGGGTTGTCTATACTTCCTGTTCATTATCGGAAAGAAGCTCCATGCTCGCTGGAAGGTAAGTCGCACCTCTCTTGTGCATACCCTTTCACATCAAGGATACTGATACTTGGTATAGGGGAGACGCCAACTATCAGCCGCTCCCGTGGCCATCACTCGTTATCTTGATCGCTTGAAGAGGGAAACGAAACCTCTCCGTTCGCAGAGCCCTGCAAAGGTGGAACTGAAGACATTCGGAGTATACCTCGGGTCGATATCCAGCCCTCCTAGTCCAGAGCAAGTGTCCATACTATCGCGGTGGGACGTTATTGTGGTCGACCCTCTTCAACATGGGGTGGTGAGCGGTATATACAATTATGGGTCCTCCACCCACGTCGTTGGCCGGGTGGATGTTCAAAATTTGGTGAACATCGAGACAAGCATCACAATAGATGAAGTCATTCAATGTTTGTGTGTCGTTGCTGAAACAGTCATCTCGAATTTCAGCCATCCGCAAGGAAGGGAGTCCCCACTTCACGGAGTTCTCCTGGCAGACTGGCAGAAGCATTTTCAACCTGTTGTACTCAATCAATTGGTCCAATACCTCAATGGTATTGGTCTTGACGTATGGCTGGAGATGTCACCACCCGACTATCTCAGCGAACGTGAATGCCGCGACCTCGACATAAGCCGCATACGCGGCGTTGTCTACCGCAACGGTACAATATTTCCCGACGGCAACCAGCGCGACTACTTTCAGATGGAAAAGATGAGGACGGTCATGCGAGTTGTCGCTGCCCAAAAAGCCATGGGAGGCTGCACTCACGCCATGTGGGAGACAGTCGAGGATGATGTGGATGTCTCCCACCATGTTCTCGGACGGACCTTCAAGTGGTGCGGTTACAACAGCGCCATGAACTGGATTGGTCCTCGATCCGCTCTGACAAACGCTGAAGTCGCCGTTCGTCGAACAATTAAGAACGAGCCCCTGGGTGCATTGATGTGGTTGAAGGACGATATTGTGCTCAAGGCCCACGATAACTGGCGCTTCAATGACAAGGTGAGTGTCCACTCCTCCGTAGCGAGAGCTAAGGCTGAAGTACGTGCAGGTCACCGGAGTC